TAGGTTCAATCTGAGCTTCTCTTGAGTGTCAATGCTGTTTTTGAATAGCTGGAGGGTCGCAGTTAATAGAATACATGGTTTGGAGACTCGATGAAAGTACAATATAACTCATTAACTATGTCGGTTTATGCAAGAATTTGGGCCTATCTCGTCACGTGTGTATTGTATTTTTTCCCGCACAACCAATAGCAATGTTTAAATTGAGCATTTGTTCAAGTTACGGATGGATAACTCAACCACAAACTTGTTATTGGTTTTTTTTAGCGAAAATACAATACACACGTGACGAGATAGGACCAAATTCTTGCATAAAGCTGGACAATAACATAGTTAATGAGTTATATTGTACTTTCATCGAGTCCCCAAACCATCTATTAAAATAACTGTGGGAGGGTGAGTAGTCACATAGTAAGGTATGACACTAGCCCTCCGGCTATTCAAAAACGGCAGTGACACTCGAGAGAAGCTTAGATTGAACTTCCACTCATTGAGTGTTGAGTGAGCTTTTAGAATACGGGCGTTTGTCTGTCAAATCAAAGCTTATACATGGTAACTGGTACACCGCGCGAATTCAATGCCATTACATGCGATGTAAATTTGAATGATTTTGACAACCAACGACAATGTCTTTCGGGAAAAATTGTATAAAAGAAAGGTATAACGATCTTGGTTGCTGTTTGTCTCTAAAATCAATCTCATTCTATAAAAGTAATAAAAATTTGTAACAGGTACACTGAGTCCATTTGCAATGCAAATTTGAATACCACCTGTAACATTACGCACGAACTCTTCTATACGAAAGCAAGTTTTATAGTTGACTTGTTAGGTATGAAAATAACAAAACTTATTTCATTTGAAAGAAAAGGACATTATATGTGGGAAGGTGATGGGATAGTTTATGGAAAATGCGGTCCAATCCAAACGAAGGAAGATTCCTTGCGGCCAACGAAATAACGAAGAAGTACAATTAACTTGTCATTAAATTTCAATTTTTGAAAATATTATTACATGTTCGCTTCATGGCTACCGTAAACATAAGTCAACTGTCAGAACAGCTTTTAAAATGCCCTGTGTGCCTGGAAACCTTTGAAACGCCGAAAATTCTGCCATGTTTGCATTCGTTTTGCCAAAAATGTCTCCAAAGGATTCTTAAAGAAGGCGAGAACGCTATTTTGTGTCCGACATGCCGGAACGAAATTCAGCTACCTCAAGGGGGTGTACAAGAACTTCCAACGAACTTTTTCATCAATAACATGTTGGATTTCATAACAGTTCAATCGTTTTCATCGAAACCAATCGATTGTACGAATTGTCAGGATCATTCACACGCCGTAGCACGGTGTGGAGATTGCGTGGAATTTTTGTGTGAGCAATGCCTCGCCGCGCACAAACGGACCAAGCTTACCAAGGAACACGAAGTCATGGCCCTGAAAGATTTGCAATCTTCCGATGTGCAAGACAAAATGCACAGACCACTGTATTGTAGTCAGCATGACAGGGAGATCTTGAAATATTATTGCGAAACGTGCGATGATCCCGTGTGCAGAGAGTGTTTGATAATGGAGCATCGGGAACACGCGTATGGATACCTCAAGGATGTTAATAATAAACAACGACAAGAGGTATGTGATATATAATATATTACTTCCCTTTTAAGCCCCCTGGGGCCCGACGTTAACTTAAAATTCAAATCAAACTTTCCTAACAGGTTTGTTTATAAATTTAGGAATATTTCTTCAGAAACGTTGTCTGGATCAGTATAGGAGCTTTCTCTGCTAACGTTTTGAAATAAACAGACATGCAGAAATACATAAACTAAAACAGCAGGTTAAATTTTAACCCAGGGTTAGCGCTCATCCTATAACCTATAACTTTTTTTTTTTGCCTTGAACAACCGACTCCTGAGGGTTTAATTTTTTCTAGTGGTTCTGGACTGGGGCGTTAATAATAATGATGCTTGTGATGTTACTCTGAGTGTATATCCACACCGGGCAAGCTTGAAAAATATGCCTGACCACGGTGGAAATCGAACCTACGACCTTTGGAATACTAGCCCAATGCTCTGCCAACTGAGCTACGCGGTCTGGTCGGTTCGAGTATGTGATATTTCGGAACAGAATCTAGTTCCTTCGATATCAATGTTATCTAATAATAATCAAGCTTGCCCGGTGTGGATATACACTCAGAGTAACATGACAAGCATCATATTCATGCACCTGAGTACATTACACCAACACAGAAAAATCATGAATAATAATAATAATGATAATAATAATTTATAGCTGATGTGGTTGTGAAAAAAGCGGGGGGGGGGGGCAATAGAGGCTGAGGCTAAATAGATTTTCACGTTCTTTTAAGAAACAGTTACTATACCATATTACTTTATTTTGCTCACATGATAATACTGAATACCTGATGAAATATATTGATCCTGTCCTAGGACTGGATAAAAATTAATTCAGTTCTTGGACTGGATCAAAATTAATTAAGTAGTTAGTGATTTCATTTCAGTTCATTAGTGATGTCATTCCAAATCGTCCAATTCGGACTGGACTAGATTTTAAGTCCTCGCATTTTGATGCAGTCCTCGGCTTCGCCTCAGACTTGATCAAATTGAGCGGACTTGAAATCTAGTCCAGTCCTCATAGTCGAATTTGAAATATTACTTCAAAATATCTCCGCAATTACATGAATGGTATAATATTCTTCGGGGGCCAGTTGTTCAAAGCTGAATTAGCTTGACCCTAGGTTAACTTCAAATTCAAAGCAAACTCCTTGACAGCTTGTCTATAAATTTGGAAATGTTTCTTCAGAAATCTTGTCTGGATCGATAGCAGTTTATTTCTCTGAAGTTTTGAAATGAACAGATGTGTAGAAATACACAAACTAAAACAGCAGAGCAGGTTAAATTTTAACCCAGGGTTAGCGCTAACCCACCTTTGAACAACCGCCCCCGGAGTTATTAGATGCTTGACAGTGTAAAGTTATATTGCTGTGACATTTTATATACTCTCAGGTCAAGTCACTGGTCGACAGTACAAAAGCTCAAACAGTTCCACTAGAGAAAGCTATTGAAGACATCACGACGCTCATGGAACGTCTGGGAGTAAGAAGCAAAGGCCTTCAACAGGTAAAACACCCAATGTGTGATTCAAACCTTTACATTTCTTTTATTTTCTTTATTATTACTTGAGATGAAATCTGAGTTAAGATAACTTCTAATAGTTGGTATAAGTGAAACAAACAAATGATAATTAATGTTATTTAGCTCAGGGCGAACTATTCTGCACCTCATATATACCAGGTGATCTCGGAACTTGGAAAAGGCCTGGCACTAGTTGTAAAATAGAAATCCATTTCTGGTTTAAAATTACTCAATATCTCATCAACGGTATTAGATTTCTATTTCAAATTTGTCACAGACATTCATTTCCCTGTGCAAGACACAGACACAAAGTTTCAAACAGTTTCACAAAAGAATCAGGGCGTGACAAGTGATTAAAGGTACGAAACTGGATTTCTATTCTGTTGCTAGTCACAGTCTTTTTTCTCACCGTCAGATCACCTGGTAACTTGTCGCTGAATGTATCCCATTTTGGGAGTGGCGATTAAATATCAAGAGATACATTACCATGCGGCCTATCTAGGATATTGAATAGAATTACCTTTAGACAACTCGGTCTCGTTGTCTATGAGCGAATAGTCGACTAAAGGCTGATTCCCACTATTGTGTTTTTCGTATGCACGTAAAACTTTGAATCCTTCTATTTTTTAAATATTTACAAATAAGTTAACAAATGCATACTAAAACTTTCGAAACACTAAATTCTGTTGCTTTATTTATTTGGTTAATTCATAAGTAACATTTAAACGGATTTAAAGTTTTACGTGCGTATACGAGCGCATGAAAAACGCAACAACGTACAAACGTGCTCAGCAATTCGTCTGGTTTCGTGTCATATTTTGTGGCAAGTAACAACAGATTTATTATTAATATACGGTTTTAATTTTACTCCCTACCTTAAACGTCTTCAGATCATATTTTGCGGTCGTTTTCTTCAGGCAAGAAATTTCTACAAAATTCCCCGAAACCTTTGCAAAACAAAAGTTTTCCGCCATCTTTTTTTCAACCGTAGTCTGTTACGTAATTGGTCCCTGGTAGAGTAGCCAATGAAAATGCTGGATTCGTAATAGACCCTGGTTGAGTGTATACTAAAAACAGTTGGTAACACAACTGCAATATCATATACTGTATAATATGATAAAGATTATCGACATGTGTTTTATTTAAAATGTTTAAATTTTATTGTAAATGCTACAGTGTATTCATTCTTAGACGCAATTTACAAGCAAATTCTGAGACTATTCTTACACAGTTCACAAGCAAATTCTTATACTATTCTTACACAGTTTACAAGCAAATTCTTAGACTATTCTTATTTTAGTTTCTGGATTGCACGACCGTTTGTTTTAATTAAATTTCTATTTAGGAAATCACGAGTAATTTTTCCAAATGCACTGAAGTCCTCAAAGAGAAGGAGGAGGAATTACTGGTGTTTGTCAGCAACGAATGTCGAATTAAATGCAAAAATCTTGGCCTTCAGAAAGAAAGTTTGGAAACACTCCTGGCCAGCGTCACCAGCAGCTGTCAGTTCTCCGAGAACGTTCTTGAGCATGGGAACGAGGCTGAAGTAATGCTGGTCAAGAAACAGCTGACACAGAGGTTGAATGACTTGCAGAATACACACATGGCTTTTGAGCCACAAGAAGATGATGTCATTGAGTATGAGTTCTTCGCTGATGAATTTCGTAAAGCAATTAAGGTAAATAGAAAACATGTGTGAAGTTTTACATTTATTAGACCTAACCAATAGCATTCCAAAGTATTCCAAGGGTCGTAGGTTCGATTCCCACCGTGGCTTAGACTTGCTCCAAGTCTCTCTTTCTTTGTCATATAGTATCGATCCACTATAGTGTACATTACATGACGTAGCACGGAGGGGCGGGGCGAGAAAGAGAGACTTGTCAACTTCGGAAAATCTCGGTTCAAAACTGAACCGAAAATGCAAGACTTGCTTTAATTGTTTTCCTTCAATTTCTTTCTGTATTATTTACTATAATGGAACTCATGTTATTTACACTGTGCTAGATCAATACATATAAACACTGACAGAAAAAAATTAAAGCAAGTCTTGTATTTTCGGTTCAGTTTTGAACCGAGATTTTCCGAAGTTGACAAGTCTCTCTTTCTCGCTCCGCCCCTCCGTGATACGTCATGTAATGGACACTATAGTGGATCGATACTATTTGACAATGAAAGAGAGACTTGGAGCAAGTCTAACCGTGGCCAGGCAAATTTTTCAAGCATATTTTGGGGGGCTTCGGTGGCCAAGTGGTTAGCGCACTTGCCTTTCACCTCTGAGGCCGCAAGTTTAAGCCTCAGTGAGAACTTTCTCAATGCGAATTGAGCCCAGTCCTCACGTGAAAATAGTAAAGGCCAACGCCCCGCCGAAAGTCGTGGGTTTTCGCCAGGTACTCCAGTTTCCTCCCACAGAGAAAGTTGACAGGGTGGGTTAGGCACATAGGTCAGGGGGGCAGATCATTAATGAGGTATGGACTAATAGCGGCTGCTTAAAGCACCACTTGTAAGCTCACAGTCTACCTCGGTCTGCTCTAATGTAACCAGTCACTGAAAACCCCTGATAAGGGAGTGTGCTGAGTAATATATGTGTGGATGTGGATATACACTCAGAGTAACATCACAAACATCATATTCACCTGAGTACATAACACCAACACAGAAAAAAAAACACCAAGGGCAGTTGCGAAAAATGCAACTATAGACACTCTTGGTAACCTCTTGCCAGTACTTTGTTCCTAGCCTCTGCCAGAAATCGATTTATAGTTGCATTTTTTGCAACTGCTCCTGGGCACTTTCACCTCTTAGGTCCGGAGTTCGATTCTCAGTGAGGAACTTTCTCAATGTGACTCGAACCCAGTCCTCATGTGAAAAGAGTAATAATTCGATTCCAGCCAGAAAGCCTATATAGTTGAATTTCTTGCAACCGCTCTTGGTTAGGTCAAATTTTCGTTGCGCAATACCGCTGCATTGCAAGTTGCAGCACAAATTTCCTCGTGTAAGATGGCCCTATCTTACAGTCTTTGAAAATGGTTTCCTTATAAGTAACCGAAACGTCGCACTAAGTATAGGTAATCATGCGATGGCGAGTACAATTAGGGATTAATAGTACGAGTGATGTTTGCCAAAATTGGACAAGCCGCCAGGGCGTGACAAAATTGGATACTTCTCAATGCCAACATCATATTCTCTCGCCAAACCCCAGTCCTGCCAAACTTTCAACTAAAATTTGGTGCTTTTGTTTGTATTTTCATTTAATTCTTTTGTTAAAGCAAAATTTTTAAGGGACCCTGTGAATGGGGCAATAAGCCCTGTAGGGATCACCAGTCATTTATGACAAAGCTCGTAAATAAAATAAATAAATTTGGTGCTTTTGTTCGTCTGTTCATCTAGTTCCTCCAGGGAACCTCCAGGGCAATTTCATTTCACATTTGTGTTTAAAATACCTTTCCGCCATTTTGTTTGTTTTGGGAAAATCATTAATTGTACTGCAGTGCAATTAATGAAATAATTGTACTCCTCTCAACCAATCAGCATCCAGAAATATTGTGATGCTAATAATAAATAAACTTAATCTCTCCACTGTTAGTTTGCAGGGCATGTGAAGGCCTTTCCTACAGTTCCCAGCCTATGTTATGCAACAGGGATTGGCCTTCATAAAGCTAAAGCCGAAGTGGAAGCGATGTTTCAAGTGATTACCGTTGATCGCAATAAGGAACTGTATGGAGAAGGCGGTGATAGGATAGCTGTGAGTGTTGTCCCTGAAGATGGCGAAGCCTTTGAAGGTTAGTTTAAAATTAAGTAGTTGCGACTTAATTGAGGGCGTGTTCACATGAGCTCAGCTAATGGGGAAATGGATGAGACCTGCATGTCCTTTGTTAACTCATATAAATTTCAATTTGATAACTCTGTCATGTAGCTTTAAACTGTTCTTCCCATAGATATGTTATATACACTAGATAGCGCATCTCTTTTAGTAAAATTGAAGCCAAGAATATTCCAGCGGTTATCCCCATTTGAATAGATGGCGGCCATGTTGGAGTTTCCCACTCGCTAATAAACGCTTAAAAAACAACAATAACTTTGATCATTTGAATACTTTAATATGTATTTGGAATATGTTTAACTTAATGTTTAAGTTCCCTGTTTAAGAAATACATACGAGTCTTCTCATTTCATGGGAATATCCTGAGTCTGCAATCATGGCTTCAATTTTTTAATTGCAGAATAATTAGATACACTATCTAGTGTATATAAGATATCTATGGTTCTCCCTAGATGTCGAGTAAGGCCATGCTTTGTTGATCTCAAACTCATTAATAATTCATGAGTAAATTAGCCAACTATATATATTGCTTTATTTTGTTCACATGATAATACTAGATACCTAGGGAAGTATATTGATCCAATCCTAGGACTGGATGAAATAATCCAGTCCTTGGACTGGATCAAAATAAATTCACCTCACTTTAAGTAGTGATTTTTTCGTATGAGATTTCATTTCAAATCCTTCAATTCGGACTGGACTAGATTGCAAGTCCTCGCATTTTGATCGAGTCCTCGGCAGACTTGAAATCTAGTCCAGTCCTCATAGTCGAATTTGAAATATTACTTCCATTTTTATAGCTATGTTCCAGTTTTACTCTGTTGTTTTATTTGTGTCCAGGTACTGTTATTGACAACAACGATGGTACGTATTGTGTGTCGTATATCCCGAAGCTGCGAGGTAACCACGCTATCCACGTGACCTTACGAGCCAAGCATATCAAAGCAAGCCCTTTCAGCATTATGGTCAGCGGCCGGATTGACTACCATCGACTCCATCATACCACACGAGCATTTGGTACCCAAGGGGAGGGTGGCGGGGAATTCAACATGCCTTGGGGCGTTGCTATTGACAACGAACGTGAATACGTCATCGTTACAGACACGGGCAACCATCGAGTCCAGGTAATGATAATAGTGGTTTTGTCATGTCTAATTTTAAGACGAGAGAGGACTCTGACGACCAATTTCTATCTAGACAATATGTGTCCTTTTCAAACAGTAACGAGAAATTGTTAGAACCTCTTCTAAACAGACACTCCAAAGTAGAGCTGAAAAATTTCGGTTGCCATTCAGAGTTTTCCATTGAAGATCGTTTAAAGGCTGCTTCAGATTGGCCTTGTTCATTTCTATATCCTAATATGACCCTGGCAGCTCGATTTTAATAAAACACAAAACAATAGACACTGCGAAAATTGTAAACATTTTCATTCTTTTCGTTTGGACTATTAATTTAAGTCATCTTCAGAAGAATGAAAATGAAGATTCTTCTGAAGATGACTTAAATTAATAGTCGAAACGTAAAAAATGAAAATGTTTAAAATTTTCGCAGTTTCCATTGTTTTGTATTTTATTAAAATAGAGCTGCCAGAGCCATATTATGATACAGAAATGAACAAGGCCAATCTGAAGCAGCCTTAAATAATCTTCAATGGAAAACTCTGAAACAACGTAGACTGGCTATGAAAGCCAGACTCGTGTATAAAATTGTTCATGCGCAAGCTCCAGCTATTCTGACCGAAGCATTTGAAAACCCATTTATCCCTCAACACAACTATAACTGACGAAACTCAAACCTTTAGTTCTATCTCCCGAAACCTAGAACTGATTATTTGAAAAAAAAAGCATAAGTTATAGTGGAGCAATTAAACTCCACTGGAATAGCTTACCGCAAGCGAGCTAAGAAATTCTACATCACTAAATATATTTAACGCTTTAATTTCCGATGCTATAATCTGACCTAATTGTCTAATTAAGTAGTGCATTTGCTTTTATAATATAATGTATATATAGTTCTTTTTTGTGTGTGTTTTACGCCCCCTTTGAAATCAGCCCATACTCCGAAGGGGCAAATATAGTTTTAATAAAATAATAAATTTGGCCGCCATTGGCTTCATTTATGCATAGTTTAACCCTAGTTTACAGATGAGTGTTCATTACTCACAGGTTTTCGATATCCGCGGAGGTTTCTTGTTTAAGTTTGGAAATGTGGGTGTGAAGAATGGAGAACTCAAAAGTCCCAAGGGTGTGGCTTACTCGTCCAAAGGTTATATCATTGTCGCTGATTCGGAGAACCATCGCGTACAGATGTTCAATGAAGACGGACGATTTTTGAGAGCATTCGGTTCTCAGGGAGGTCAAGAAGGTAAATAGTAATAAAGTTATAGCTTGTTTCATTTGAAAGATCTTCTAAAATTGTATGTAAGACTTCTGTACCGATTCTTCATATCTCGTTTATGTTTGAGAATTAATATTTTGACGTAAAGCAGTGAGCTGTGCGCCATCTTGAATTAATTTTTGATCTTATTAACGGAGAGATTTCTAGAGAGATTCCAAAAATTTTGTGTTCTAGAGAGATTAAAAAAATGTAGATGTTCTAGAGAGATTAAAAAAACCAAGGCTACAGAGTAAGCATGTTTCACCTCTGAGATCGTGGGTTTGATTCTGGCTACGAACTCACGAAAAGAGTCATTCAACGCTCCATCGAAAGTCATGGGTTTTCTCCAGGTTTCCTCCCAATGTTGACAGGGTGGGTTGGGATTATCCCCTAAGTTGGGATTAGCCCCTAACAGACCCTTCCACTATGGCTGTTCTCCGATCAGCCATGAGTTATATAAGGTGGTTGCCAGAGGCGCCCTTAGAAAGCCTTCGACTCGACCAGGTTGAGCTGCGTCCTTCACAATTCAGCTTAGTTTTCATCAGCTGCAAGTAAGGATGATTAGCACATTCCCACCCCGACGTGATGTTTTAAGAATATTCGTTTTGTGTACGAGAAGCTAATCCACTTTCAAACAGCTGGTGCATGCACATATTAGGTTGAAGGTATCCAAACAGTCTTAGATAAAACAAAGATTTATTTCTATGTGTATCTTTCCAGGCCAACTGTCTCACCCTTGTGGTGTTGCATTGTCCAAAGACAAAGAAATTATCGCAGTAACAGAGCAAGACAATCACAGAGTCCAGCTGTTCACCCTTCACGGCGAGCCTTTGAAGATGTTCGGTTCTCAAGGAAGCGAAGAAGGCCAATTTTTGTATCCGCATCACCTTACGTTTAGCGTGAAGGATTTGTGTTTGGTCTCTGATTGTGTCAATGACAGAATTCAAGTGTTTGATAAAGATAGAGAATGTCAATCTTGCTTCGGAGAGGAAGGTAAAGTATAGCTAAGGTTGTTGTCGTTGTGATTATTGCTGTTGTTGTTTTGTTGTTAATGTTTTGTCGTTGGTCTTGTCAATGTTGTTGTAATTGGCGTTGTTGTTGTTGTTGTTGTTGTTGTTGTTGTTGTTGTTGTTGTTGTTGTTGTTGTTGTTGTTGTTGTTTATAAAGTAATTTTAAAATAAACTTTGTCTAAACCGAGAAAATCAAAGCTAAAGTTTATGTAAATTAACATGATTTTTTATCACATATAAAACCACGACACGCTTATGATTTTTATTTGTGTTTTCCTCCTGAATTATTGAGTTTTTTAATGATATTTGGTGCAGGTACAAAAATCCAACTGAATTTGAAGCTTATGTAAATCAGTGCGGTAATGATTTCCCTCGAATTTTCTTTACAAATAATGAGAATTTCATTGTTTTCGCCCTAGGAACGAAAGTGTCGCAATTTGATGGTCCTGAAGGCATTGCCATGGATGACGAAAGCAACATCCTGGTCTGTGACAATCACAACCATCGAGTGCAAGTCTTTAACAACCAGGGAGAGTTCCTGGTGCAACTAGGGTCTTATGGAGATAACATAGGATACTTCAAAAACCCTTGTGGGATAGCAGTCAGTGATGCTGGAGATATCTTTGTTGTGGATACAGGCAACAATCGTCTTCAAATATTTTGAACAAAAGCTGATCAGAAGTTCAAGCATAGCCAATCAAGATGTGGTCAGAAAACGTTTGACCAAAATATTTTATCTATCTTTTGTACATGTTAGGGCAAACAATTCCACGGTGAAGACAATTAATTTGAAGAAGCTATCATCCAATGCCAGTAATCAAGCATGATGAAGCTATCATCCTTATGATGAAGCTATCATCCAATTGGATTATGATGAAGCTATCATCCATGCTTTCATACAATTTGCATAATCAAGCATGATGAGGCTATCATCCTTATGATGAAGCTATCATCCTTATGATGAAGCTATCATCCAATTGGATTATGATGAAGCTATCAGGCAAGCTATCATCCAATTGGCATAATCTCGTTGAATCACTTTTGAAATATTTGTGTGCAAAATTTCAAAACATTTCTGCACGATACAGTCGTCTCAATATAAAGCCGTAGCTAGCCTGAGTGTCAGGCCTTGTTTTCCCTTCCTTAAATGCGGGTGGATTGAAGAGAAAACGGGGCCTGACACAAATCCCTGTCTGATCCCATGTAAAATAGCCAAAATCCGGCTTTCACCTGATTGGTGTATCAGAGAAAGAAATTTTAATCTTTCTTTTCGATTGATTAGTGCTATTAGATTATACTATTGTTCATGATATATTTAGTAGTTTTAGCTATCATTAGGATTTTGTTATTTTTTGTGAAATGTCCTTTATGTTGTCCTATGTCCATCGAATGCACCTACCTATGAACACTCTGTTAAAACATGTTTTGAATTTAGTTACAATTTAAGACCTGAAAGAACGTTCAATATTTCTATAACCCATACAAATAGAGTGGAAAACTCTTTCATATATGCAATGTGTAAAAAGGTTAACATGCAGTAGTTAACATCCTTTCCTTGAATTTTTAGAATAGTTAAGATTTAAAATATTTTTACTAATCTTTATATAAGTAGTGTTATCTTATTAGTAAAAAGCATAATTATGATATCATGTATGTACATAACTTGTTTTAGCTTAGTATTAATTGTAATAATTACGTACTTCAGCCTTCATAAATGCAAGGTAATTTCATTAAATACACACTTACTTACTTACTTTTCATGTTTTCCCAGTTCCGTTTTCAGGTGTGAGATGAGTAGAAAGTCAGAATTTGTGCATTCAAAAAGAAATGGTTGAGAAGATGGATATTTATGAGGATTTTGGTATTTCCTGCCAAAATTTGCACTTAAAATATCTATCTGTAAAATATTTGCATTCCAGGAGGCTGTTACTGCTTTCAATTACAAACACAAAAAGATATTCATTTTGTTTCAATTTCATCTCTGTTTTAATTGAACATATATTTACATATATTTACAACATTTACGTTGAAGATCTTGTTATACAACAAAATGTATAGAAATATATTGTTTCAATTTTGTATATTTACATTGTATTTATGGAACAAATTCCCATTAGAAACAGTAAAAAGTGAATGTATATTGTGTGCTATTTATGAGCTCAAGTGAATATATGTACAGTCATGTACATTTAAAAAGGTGAGAAGGAGCCTACAGCTCTACGCTATTTACACAATATCATGGTTAATGGCAAATACACTCGCTTTGGATGTTTAATAAAGGGTACCGTTCTTTTTGAAACTTGTTCGCTTTCACGATGACTTAAAGCATTCCGTACTTCTCATATAATTTATATATATTCAGGAAGGTTGCAAAGCATCTGGAGTTGGTATGTGGGATGTCAAATGATTTACCTAAATTGGAACTTCAATGTTAAAGTCCACCTTTAATCAGTTAAATAAAGTTCGCTTGATGTTTCCAATGTTTCCAAAGCATGTGTATTTCTTTAACTATGATAAAAAACCCTTATGCAGGGCTGTTATATCTTACATTATTTTATATAGAAAACCTAATTGTGCGTTGATTATGTTTGTGTAATTTTTATACAGTCTAATCTACAAATATTTGCGTTTGGTTGTGATCCCTCGTGGTCGTAAGTCGGCTCCATAATGTAGTGTCGGTCTAACAGTTATGTTTATGATTCTGCCGTATGCATCTGGTGCATGTCTTGGAGAGTTTGAAGTCCTTTGAGTCCAAAGGACCATCTCTGGACAGTACATATTCTGTGTGGAACTATGTACCTTGCTGGAAAACCTTTGAACTGTCACCGTTTGTCTACTGTTTCAAGACACCTTAATATTCCACTACGCTGAAACGGAGTCCATATTATCATGTCTTTCATACACGTGTGAAACCAATTCTGCTTTCTCGAGGCAACCAGAGAGTATGAACACATGTGTCTCTTAATTATAATGTCCAAGTGTAATTGAGAAGAAGTGGAAATTCATGATTCGAAAGTCCATTTGAATTGCTGTTCCATTAGACATTAGTTCTCTTGCACAAAGTGTCATACCCTATAGAATCAATGATATCTTTACCTTTGTCTTCAGTAAAGACGAATTTGTCTCTTTCTCTACAGCAACTGAAGAACTGTCAAGTTATATCTGTCGAGTGTTGAAGTAATCCAAAGATTCTATGGACGCTTTCCATTAACACGGCCAAACCGATCAGAACGGTCAAATTGTTGAATGAAACACAAAACGTTTGGGCTTCGGACCTATCTGACCGGAAAATTTAGATAAAATTAGAATGAGGTCCATTTTCGCTAGATATTTGAGAAACATAGACCAGATCTTCCCATTGATACAGAGAAAAAATTCTGGTCTGACCGGTCAGGCCATTAAATGGAAAGCGCCCTATGATATCGCTATCCGTACAAATTGTCACTGTCTTCAATTTTAACGTTTCTCCAAATTTCCATCACAGAGAAACTGAGACCATATCATCCTTTTTAAATCTGCGTAAAACCAGCTTGATTTCTTCAATCTTGATTTCTTCAATCTTCCCTACTTCTTTGAAGCACAACAGGAAATCTGAACACTTTTTCAACAATCATGTTCCATTTCAATAAAGATGAATTAGAATCTACAAAATCCTTATCAAATATTCCATTACACCGACACGGAATCCATATTATCTTCCCTTTCTATGCTGCACTTAGCCTGAGCAGAACCAGCTCGACTTCTTTGTATAGAACTTCTCCTACTCCTTTGAGGAACATCGGGGAATCTAAACACTGGAGCCTCATAATTATGATGTGACGGAGTCCTTATTACTGCATGATAAAGAGGATCTGGGGTACAGGGTCTGGTATACACCAGATAGTCACTCTGTGGTGGTCCAACAGGTATCATCATGTTGGGTGGAAGTTGGACAGGAACGCTCTCGTATATTCTCGGTTGTTTGGTTTCTGTTGGAAGTTTGACTTTTTGGAGCTTGGATGGTTTTGATCTTTTTCTACACAACGAAAGAAAAAAAAACACGAAATGAAAAATTGGTTAGAGCTCGACGGCTGGACTCTGTAGCTCAGTTGGTTAGAGCCCTATATCCTGGTTAGAGCCCATTTTTCACAGCTGTTCTTGGTCATGGGTCCAATAGGTGTGTAAGAATTGAAACTCGAATTTTCCAGCATTCTACAGAAATGTCAACCGAATATCAGTTTTTCTAGCAAGAGCACTTTATAAGCATTTTATCCGAAGCTTTTTTATTGACGGGATTCGTTTGCACAAATATTTTTTTAATATTTAATTGCGTCGTGAAAACCATATTTTTTTTAAAAGTAGACTTGTCAAAAATTGATCATTGAATTCAGAACCATTGTTGTATCTATTCCTTTTTTAGATCAGTGCAGGTGTGCATTTTGGGCGACTATAAAGGCTAGAATTTGATTTAAAGTCACAGTTCAGCCTTTTGAACGATGGTTTTTAAGGCGCATTTCAGCCCATTAATTGAAAAAACTAACTAGGAAAATCAATTATGCATTATTCAAGATCAGCAAGCTTAATGTTTTTAACATTTTAAAACATTTTTATTGTTAAAAACATTGATTTTACTGATCTTGAATTATGCATAATTGAGTTTCCTAGTTAGTCTTCAATTAAAGGGGCTGAAATGCCGGCGCCTTAAAAACCATCATTCAAAAGGCTGAACTGTACCTTTAACAATGTGGTAATTTACAAAATTCACTTTGCAATTATTCCAAGGAGATATGAATCGGGGAACAGATGTAGAATATATAGAAAAGCAAAATACTTACGCCAGTGCACAAGCGAGAATGATAACAACGGCAATAAGAAATACAATGACACCACCAAGAACAAAATTCATGACCGCATGAACGGATGCTGAAACGACATAAATTTAAGGTTAATTACAAGGCATTTTCCATTTAAAACTATCAGCCATTCAAATAAGGTTTTATGAAATGTGAAAACCTATTTCAGCTTCGTTATGACTTGTCCATTGCATTGTTAGAAAAGTTCGTCGCAAATTTCCTTTATACCCAAAAGCTACCACAAAATTTTTTGCCAACACAAATTGTCAATGTTTTCAAACAAAACAAGGAAAAGTTGTCCCGAAAAACCTCTTATGGAAAAACTGAAAATCAAGCCTTGAACTTTATAACGCTCGCAGAATGCGAGTGAATTTTAACCTTTGCTTGTAAATAAACATTCCACTTGCAAAATTTTGCGAGTTTGGACTTTATTCGGGTAGATTGAGCGATTCTGGTTACATATTGGATTTTAAATTTGGCTAGGACTTTGCACTAGCTTTTTCTAGAAACAGTGAAACCTACTAGCACGTGTTTGCTAGTAGCCAAAAAAGTTAAGATGAGCCCTTGAAAGAAAGAATTGATTATGCCGGTTGCGCTTGTACTGGAGAACTGGGGAGAGTTGAGCTCGCAAAGGCTCCTTGGGAGTTGAAAATTTAAAAACAAGCGGGAAATAATGAGAGGGAAAATTGATGTTTACAAATGAAATTACAACTTAATGTTTAACTTTTTGAGGTTAATAATTAACCATTCAGGTTAGTGTTTAACTTTTGATTGAATTACACAGATTTGCTACATACAATCATGAAACGCGGAAAATGTGTGATTTAGTAAGTGACAGTTCAAGTAAAGTAAATATCATTGACTTCGTTTAAAATGCACCTATATTCTATAATCTCAATTCTTCTGACATCTCATTCCTAAGAACCTTTGAAATGATATTTTAACTTATTTTGAAGATTTTCGATTGTACACTTTATCTCTGAGTTATTTCAGTTTTATTGATATGCAAATGTCCGGAATTTACGTCAGATATGAATAATGACTGATCAAAGAATGTAAGGTACAGTTAAATATCATGAAATAAAGAGGCTAAATGGTGTTTTACATATAGATTATAGGTATGTATTCCTCCCACAACTCCAAACATCATTTTAATGAATTAAACTCGATAGTGAATACGATATACAAGCTTTTACTTTAAATCCTTATGCATTAATTGTGACGTGAATTCCGGATATTTGCATACCAAACCTGAACTGAAATATCTCAGAAACAAAGTGAGCAAACGATTGAATGCCTTGTACCCCTCTTCCCATGTCAAAACCAGGGTGGGTGCGCACATCACATCATCCCCCTTCGCTAGTAAACCCATCCCGTTTTAACAAGACGAAGTAGCATACCCCACCCAGGATTGAAAGACGTTATTAATCACGATTCAACTTACTTGCACTTTCATTTTTGCATTCCGTTTCAATCTTTTGTGCCACAACACCTGGTCGTTTCTTGGTTGTTGATTCAACTGCCTGTGTTATGATACGTTTTGTTGCTGGGATTCTTGGTTCGGTTGCCTGCATTTGTTGTCGTGTCGGTCTTGGCAGTTTACCGTTAATCATTAACATTCGTTGTTTAATTTCTGCGGGAGTATCACATTGCGGAGGCTCCCAAATACAGTCCTCTGTAAGATTAGGGAAATATATATTACTGTATAACCTTTAGATGGACAGAAAAAGATAGATAGGAAAATTTTATTTAAAGGAAAATGGCAACATATTTTTTTATTTTCTCATTTGACTTCGGACCCATTTTATTTAATAATTTGTACATGATTTTTGCTTTAGTTTTCTTCCTTTCTGTTTTAAGTGGCTTCCAGCCCGATGCTTGCAATGCAACAGAATGATCTGTGTCATTGTTCATATTCGTAATAATTCGACCAGTTCTAAGGCCAAAAATTCTAGTCGATTTGTCTGTCCAGAATTGCGTGTGCATCACTCCCCCGCCCCCGCCCCATTTTTTTTTCAAGGGAAGCCTTTTGCAGAAATGGTTTCTAAGTGCATACATTGATTTTTTATGCTTAGTGTTAACCAACTGTTACCAAGTTTACATGGAATAAAACGAGAACTATTATAGGACAGGATATAGAGTATTTTCAATTCAATCAGCCAATTTTGAAGCCTGAATACTTATAATGAGATGAAATTTTAAAGTCTGTCAAAATCTCTGCGAGTCGGATCGCGACGTGTTTAAATTACCTACATTATTAAACAAACGTATTTTTATATGTAACGTGAAAGATAGAGCTTCCCACATATATTCTAATGAGTTTTAGAACGTTTTAAACAATAGACAATGAGATTTGTGGCAGCCATCTTGGTGACCTCATTAGTTATTCATGGCACATTTAAGGAGGCGCCACTGTTCTTATATTGCTATTCTGGGAATGATAGATCAGTGATTGAATTTAACAAAACACCTATGCTTGTTCATTAATAGCGTAATGAACTAAATTTTTAAACATATCTTACCCTCTTTAGGATTACAGACATAGATGTGAAGTTTCATGTGATACTTAATACAGTGCCCATCATCTCCGCTTGTTCGACGCGTGGTAAGGTCATATTGTATCCCATTACTCGTACCTTGAAATATTATAAAAACATATTATGTAACAGATTATTATCACGTGATATCGAACACAAATTCCACTTTAATTCGCTTCGAATTCATCAGGGTCTGAAGATAGTCGGTTCACGATAGTACATAACGTATAGACTATAGAATAATGTATAACTAATGTTGTATGGCAAATGTATTCTTAGCCAATCAGGGATGCCTCAAAACTTTCTGGGGGAGCATTTATCCCCTGATAGGGCTCCCTTGTAGCACTGGCTTTTTATTGCATCTGTAAATTTACCTTAGGATCAGACCCTCGATGCATTCTTTGTGTTATATCCCTAAAACTAAGTATTATTAAGATTCTCAGTGCAGTTAAATAATTTTTTTCTGTTAAAATATGGCGTGACATCCAGTTTGACAACTTGTTAGTGGCATACAGTTACAGTGTCCAAGTGTCAATTTACTGGTGATTTGCAGGATATTTTTAATGTTCTCTTGCGATCCCAGAAAGTAAAATAGTTCATCCCTGATAAAAAGATTCGGGCATTTTTTACATATATTGATATATATAATTTTAACTTCTTATTGCCATACCCCTTTACACTAAGGTAATGAGGAAAATTGCAATCAAGTTAGGAACTTAAAAGAGGAACGCTTCACGTAGTTTACCTGCAACAAAGTGTAAACTTACTTATGAAGTAGTAATGTTTTCCTGGGGCAAATCTTGGTTCCTCGTTCGAATAGATGGGATGGAATGAAAATTGTAATTTCTTGGGATTCTTAGGACTGTTACAGACCAACAGGAGTTTCCCATCCTTGTTCACCTCGCATTTATCGTATCCAGCTTTGTCCACGTGCCACAAATTCTCGTATAAAGTTAGCATGTACTGAGGACGTGTTCTCCACGTGTTCACTGTGACGTCACCTGGACAGACGATGTTCATTCCTGTGTAAGGTAGGACCTTAATGAAGTATTCTTTTGGGCCATTTTGGTCTTTGGTTTCTGTTAATTTTCTGAATCTGAAAAAAATTGAAGCAAATTACAATTAATTGAGCAGTACTTTAGAAAACAACGAATGACCGGGGTTTTCTAAAAGAACTAAGAAAAAATTAGAAAAATTGTATAATAACAATTATAGGCGTTATGACTTTGGACCAGACATTAGAATTAGTCCAAGCATACTAGGACTTATGATTGTAGCATTAATGGGGCAAAGCAACCATTTTGGCGATTGATAATTCTACGTTCTCGAAAATGAGCGATTTCATTGTAATTTACAGAAATATCGAGATTTGGGGGAATTTCGTATTAGATGGTTTTTGTAGATTTATCTACAATTATAGACCTAACCTGGAGCGGTTTCAAAAAATACAACTACAGGCCCTCTAAATCGAACCTGCGATTCCGGTGCAGCGCTTTTTAACAACTCAACTACAGAGAGACAGTTGTCGAGCTCTAACCAACTGAGCTACAGAGAGACAGTTGTCGAGTTCTAACCAACTGAGCTACAGAGAGACAGTTGTCGAGCTCTAACCAACTGAGCTACAGAGAGACAGTTGTCGAGCTCTAACCAACTGAGCTACAGAGAGACAGTTGTCGAGCTCTAACCAACTGAGCTACAGAGAGACAGTTGTCGAGTTCTAACCAACTGAGCTACAGAGAGACAGTTGTCGAGCTCTAACCAACTGAGCTACAGAGAGACAGTTGTCGAGTTCTAACCAACTGAGCTACAGAGAGACAGTTGTCAAGCTCTAACCAACTGAGCTACAGAGAGACAGTTGTCGAGCTCTAACCAGCTGAGCTACAGAGAGACAGTTGTCGAGCTCTAACCAACTGAGCTACACAGAGACAGTTGTCGAGCTCTAACCAACTGAGCTACAGAGAGACAGTTGTCGAGCTCTAACCAACTGAGCTACAGAGAGACAGTTGTCGAGCTCTAACCCACTGAGCTACAGAGAGACAGTTGTCGAGCTCTAACCAACTGAGCTACAGAGAGACAGTTGTCGACCTCTAACCAACTGAGCTACAGAGAGACAGTTGTCGAGCTCTATCCAACTGAGCTACAGAGAGACAGTTGTCGAGCTTTAACCAACTGAGCTACAGAGAGACAGTTGTCGAGCTCTAACCAACTGAGCTACAGAGAGACAGTTGTCGAGCTCTAACCAACTGAGCTACAGAGAGACAGTTGTCCAGCTCTAACCAACTGAGCTACAGAGAGACAGTTGTCGAGCTCTAGCCAACTGAGCTACAGAGAGACAGTTGTCCAGCTCTAACCAACTGAGCTACAGAGAGACAGTTGTCCAGCTCTAACCAACTGAGCTACAGAGGCCAGTTGTCGAGCTCTAACCAACTGAGCTACAGAGGCCAGTTGTCGAGCTCTAACCAACTGAGCTACAGAGGCCAGTTGTCGAGCTCTAACCAACTGAGCTACAGAGAGACAGTTGTCTAGCTCTAACCAACTGAGCTACAGAGAGACAGTTGTCGAGCTCTAACCAACTGAGCTACAGAGAGACAGTTGTCCAGCTCTAACCAACTGAGCTACAGGGAGACAGCTGTCGAGCTCTAACCAACTGAGCTACAGAGAGACAGTTGTCAAGCTCTAACCAACTGAGCTACAGAGAGACAGTTGTCGAGCTCTAACCAACTGAGCTACAGAGAGACAGTTGTCGAGCTCTAACCAACTGAGCTACAGAGAGACAGTTGTCGAGCTCTAACCAACTGAGCTACAGAGAGACAGTTGTCGAGCTCTAACCAGCTGAGCTACAGAGAGACAGTTGTCGAGCTCTAACCAGCTGAGCTACAGAGAGACAGTTGTCGAGCTCTAACCAACTGAGCTACAGAGAGACAGTTGTCGAGCTCTAACCAGCTGAGCTACAGAGAGACAGTTGTCGAGCTCTAACCAGCTGAGCTACAGAGAGACAGTTGTCGAGCTCTAACCAGCTGAGCTACAGAGAGACAGTTGTCCAGCTCTAACCAACTGAGCTACAGAGAGACAGTTGTCGAGCTCTAACCAGCTGAGCTACAGAGAGACAGTTGTCGAGCTCTAACCAGCTGAGCTACAGAGAGACAGTTGTCGAGCTCTAACCAACTGAGCTACAGAGAGACAGTTGTCGAGCTCTAACCAACTGAGCTACAGAGAGACAGTTGTCGAGCTCTAACCAGCTGAACTACAGAGAGACAGTTGTCGAGCTCTAACCAACTGAGCTACAGAGAGACAGTTGTCGAACTCTAACCAACTGAGCTACAGAGAGACAGTTGTCGAGCTCTAACCAACTGAGCTACAGAGGGCAGTTGTCGAACTCTAACCAACTGAGCTACAGAGAGACAGTTGTCAAGCTCTAATCAACTGAGCTACAGAGGGCAGTTGTCAAGCTCTAACCAACTGAGCTACAGAGAGACAGTTGTCAAGCTCTAATCAACTGAGCTACAGAGGGCAGTTGTCGAACTCTAATCAACTGAGCTACAGAGGGCAGTTGTCGAACTCTAACCAACTGAGCTACAGAGAGACAGTTGTCAAGCTCTAATCAACTGAGCTACAGAGGCAGTTGTCGACTCTAACAACTGAGCTACAGAGGGGGACAGTTGTCAAGCTCTAATCAACTGAGCTACAGAGGGCAGTTGTCGAGCTCTAACCAACTGAGCTACAGAGAGACAGTTGTCGAGCTCTAATCAACTGAGCTACAGAGGGCA